CCGCACCGTCAACCACAACAAACCCATTCCCACGGCGAACATGAGTAGAACTGAGGTCACACACTCTACCGTTTCCTTCCAATCCATGATTACGTCCATTATCCCAACCACAGAACTATCAGTCACGAAATAAAAACCATGCTCTGCTACCATTTGTAACAGGTCGGAATTAATGGAATTTTATTCTCACTTGACTTGGGGTTTATTATTATTATTAGATGGTAACTGCAGTGGAAGCGCCCCTTGGAGAAAAAACTCGAACCAGCACAAAAACACTTAAATTTACTAACAAAAATGAATTCTCCGTGACCCGTGGAAGGATAGTACCTGTGATTGGGATGAATGAGACGCACTGTAAAGTTTAGACACTTACTGTATATTCCCTTCAACACTACAGACACAATCAAATAATGGTACACCAACATATGCGCACCTCTTAACCTGACTTAAACACTACTCTGGGGAATAAAAGTTATACATGATATTGAAATTATTAGAAACTTAGAAAATGCCTCATTAGACAACAATAAATTCAAAGTATTAAGAACTGTTGCTTGCGCACATGAAACAGGCCTTACGGGCTTTCAACAAAATAATATCAGCTACTGAGAAAATGTTATAAAAACTAAGAAATTATTAAATCCACCATGAATAGGCCTTAAGGGCACTCAATAAAATTATGTTACACCAAAAGATGCACACCTCCTGACCTGGCTTAAACAGTACACTGGGGAGCAAAGGTTATACGTAATATTGAAATTATAAAGAAATATTAACTGCATTAAAGGAACTAAATCACAGTATCACTTACAACAGAAAAGAGGAACCACATCTGAAAAACAGTTCCCTCGTTCGCTGGCATCAATTAGTGACACAAACACTAAAAAAACAATACTATCAAAATTATTTAAGAGATATTAACTACACACAGCAAGACAATATCAGACACTGAAAAAATATTATCACTATATTAAGAAGTTCCTGAGTCCACCAATACCCGTGAAAACATGCTCCTTAACCTCACACATAGATTCCGCATGCAACTGTAGGTTCTTAAGGCACAACCAAGCAGGCACCCATAGGTTAAGGCACAAACAAGCCCTTCTCAACCTTGGAAAATGCACCTCTAAGTTCCACTAGACTCCTGGTCTCAGTGTGTGACCATACATTCACTCAGCTGGCCTCATTTTACACTCAGTACATCCATGAAGGGAGTGAGCCAATCAGACCTTGTTCAGTTGAGAAAAGCTTGAAGATATGTGATATTGTGAGCCGAGGTAGAGGAGATCTGGCGACCCCAAACGATCGTCAACAGGGACAGGTGATGGTCCCACGTCGTTAGCTGTACACCTAGACAGCTGGTTTCACTCCAATTCTCACCATGCTCAACAGCATGGGCTCAAACTCAGGTGATTGGACGTTCATACCGTCAGTGGACGCTTCATACCGTTTGTGGACGTTCATATCGCTCGTGTGTAGACGTTTCATATCGTTTGGGCTCTACAGAACCCTGCAAAAAAACCCGGTCTGTTGGCTATTGTCTCACATCACCTTTACTCACTCATTGTTTGTTCCTACCGCCCTATCTAGCTTTGTCTGAGATTGAATAAAACTTACTTGTTAATACTGATGTTAAATAAACGAAGGAACCAGTTCACGCGATCGTCTCTCCTGGGTGTAACACAAGGGTGGTCCTGCCAGCTTGACCCCCTCTCACGACTCCAAGTCACTCTCCCACAAGGCGTTTACGCTTTGAAGGAGTGACTTATTTACCAGACGACTAACAGCTTAATTAGGACGTACGCAACATTTTCAGACTGGGAAAAGATCTATAATAAATTTTAATTTAATAACTAATATTTAATTTCATAATTCGCCTCCAGATTAAGTCGCCAGAGTATACTTAACATTATATGGGTGCAGTTCAAAAACCTCTCACTACTATTGTGAGAGCGCTGTCCTCCCTCAGATGACCTTGAAAACTCAGAACCGACCTGCCGAACAGGATAACATAAGTAGGCCAGGCTGAAACACCCATGCCTTGTGGTGAGTTAAAACAAGGACCTCCAAGTAATGCCATAGAGCGGGGGGGCATTTTGAACTAGGCCTTTAGGAAACTAAATGTACTTTATCGAATTAACGAAGACACGATTCATGAAGTTAAGGGATAATTATAAAATTCTAAGTTATTGTGGATAGTTCCCAGTCTAAATATGTTCCGTGTGTCCCAAAGAAACTATTAGTAATACGCGAAAGATGACGTCATTGGGTGAAGGCCTGCGAGTGCCTTCAAGGATGCGACGCTGACCAGGCCCAGTCAGCGCCGGTCATTGACCAAGGCAGACGTCTACTACGCGTTCTGCCAAGGAAAACGACCACGTGGCCTCGTCCATTCCAGCGCACGTTTCATCAGTGTTGCAAGTAAGTTTTTTATTCGATCTCAGACAGTGTGTAGATAGGGAGGAGAAGAATTTAACAGTAGCTAACAGAGTGCTCCTTTTGCATGGTTATCAGAATCCACTTGGTTGGCTGGTGATGGTTAGCTGGTGATGATTAGTGGTGGTTTGGAAGATATAGGTGGCAACGCACGAGGCGAACAGGTGTCTCTGACGACTAACTACGTATGACCAGCATCCGCACTTTGGTCGGTGGTCGTTCTGGTTCATCAAATCTCCCCACCTTGGTTCAAACAACACCACATCTCTTCAGTCAGTCAGTGAAATATCTTACTAATGGGAAAGTAGAAGCCCTCCCTCAGCTGGGCAGGGTTCACCTGGTTGTACTCTGACCTGGCCTAACTAGGTGGGCTGACGGTCACTCTCTTCCTGTCCATGAAGTACTGGGAGTAAACTGAGTGCAGACTGAGTGAATGAAAGGTCACACGCTGGGACTGGGAGTCTAGTGGTTACATAGAGACATTCATCTCCCCAGTATTGGATGTATGTGATTGGAGTCCAGGTGTGTAATTAACGCTCCTCATGGTTGATTGCACACGTGAGACGTAGGGGTTCCTCTTCAAAGTTTGTGAAAGGCTGTTAGTACCTTAAAGTAAGGATGCCTTCTGAACCTATGTGTGAAGCATGTTGCGGGTGTTGGTGGAGAAATACACTCATGACTCCTGAAACCAAGAGAGAGTAATAAAAAAAAACAGCGGAGCACCCGCCTGCCTGACGGGTCATGAGTGATTTTCTCGGTTTCTTGTAAATGCCTGCAATTTGGCAGGTTAGTAGTTACAACCTTCGGGTTCTGGGTAGTTAGGACTGTTAGGATTATAGTATTTTGTGGGTCATCCCTGACAGACTATGAGTGATCCATGTTCTTGTGTAGTATGACTAAATCGGGATTTCTATTCCTCAGTGATTGCTATAATTTTGTTGAATGCCCTTATGGCATGTTCATCGGCGCAAGTAATATTTTTTTAAATATTTTACGTGCCACTAAGTGATGTAGGATGTACGAAGGAATTGTTTCAGATGAGTTCCTCGTTCTGGTGTATGTAGTACTGCTGCATTAGTAGTCATCTTCAGATGCAATTAATAGCTTTTAATAATTTTTTTGATACCCTGTATAACTTTTGTTTCCCATTGTAGTGTTGTAAGGCACACTAAGAAGTACTCTAGTCTTGTGTACAATTATTGATTCCGTCTGTAGTGTTGGAAGGAATAGAAGTGTTATCTTGTACCAGTGCGTCTCATTAACCCCAATCACAGGTACTAGCTATTCCACGGTCACGGAAAATCCTTTTATTTTATTGTGTTTGTGCTGGTTCGGGATTTTATATATATATATATATATATATATATATATATATATATATATATATATATATATATATATATATATGGTGTTATCATATATACCTAGATCACACGCACCTACAGTGATTTACTTGCATATATATATATATATATATATATATATATATATATATATATATATATATATATATATATATATATATATATATATATATATATATATTATATATATATATATATATATATATATATATATATATATATATATATATATATATATATATATATATAAATATATATATTAGTTCATATAGATCTGAGATCTACGCAAATTAGTTGTTTTAAAATATTTCTGACGAAAACTAAGGGTACAGTCCACGTCATTCTTAAGACACAAAACTGGCGGCCTCAAAATTCCCAGCCGTCAACTTGGCTGGGTCCATCTCTCCTCCATCTCTCTATAACCATACAATCCAGGCCATTAATCGGTGATCAACCAAGGTGTAGAGTCGACGCTTATCCCTGGACACTTAGTACTATACTGTTAGAAACAGAAAGAAAATACATTTTCAAATTTATTTATCCATAAGAACGTGGTTGAAGGTAAGCGGTGACTTCACACTGTAGTTTGAAATTTGAAATTTTGAAAATTAATTTTTGGGGGTCAGAAAAAATTATTTTGATCAAAATCTCAGTATAGGTATTCGTGGTTTAAAAAAAATTCTGATAATTTATTGTTATAAGAGTCATTGGAATTTGAAACTTTGACCACTAACTTCCTTGATTAGTTTTCGCATTTTGAGGGTTGAATTTTTGTTTGTAACCTCAGTGTAGGTTAACGATCCTTGGCCAAAAAGATGAAACTCTGAGAATTATATGTCAAAAACAAATTTAGACACTTGATTATCTAAATTTAATATTCGAGGGACTGTTAGAAAAACAAATGTTCAAAATTTCAACATTTCGACCACAGATCCTGATTCAGCGTATCGAGGACGACCTGTACTGAATTTTTGAGCAAATTTCAGTTTTCGACCCCCCCCCCGTGAAATCAATTTTGCTCGAACACCTTAGTATGCATAAATAACGTAAAAAATTTATTCACTTTCCGTTTCTAAAACCTGTCCATAGTTAAGCTGCTCGGGGATAAGCGTTAACTTTACACCTTGGCTGACCACCGATTAATTGCACATGATAAAACTAGCCAAGAAATCACACCAATATCAAGAAGGGAAAACTCACCTGTGCGTCTCTCAGCCACGTCTTTGAGTGTATACACCTGCAGAGAGAGCTTGTCACTGCCGCCCTTGGCATTGATGGAATACACAATACCCCGCATTGTCACACCCACAGGCAGATCTGGCACTGAGAATGTCGGTACCTGCAACCACGGAGGAGGAGAGGGTAGAGATAAGGTTAGTCATATGTGTTGCATGAATGGTATAGCATGACAGGGAGATATATGTCATATTTATTTCTTCACACACATTATCATCTTCACACACGCTCTCTCTCTCTCTCTCACTCACCGAATTGGTGGCGTTAGCTAGCAGGGTGTTCGTGCGTGGATGATACAGCTCCAGAATAAAGGTTTGAGGCAGCCCACCGTCGAAGCCTGCCATACACCGCACGTTGACCACAGTTACCGACAAGTTATACACCGAGCAGTTGTGTAAAGGGTCTGGCTTACCTGTGTGGGGAGGGTTACTGGTTAGGGTGGTGGTGAGTGGTGGTGGTGAGTGATGAAGGTGGTGAATAATGTTGGTGGTGATTAGTAGTGGTGGTGATTGGTTGTGATGGTGGTAATGCGTGGTGGTGGGTGGGTGGTTGATGGGTGGTTGGTGGTGGTGGTGGGTGGTTGGTGGTGGTGATTGTTGGTGAGTGGTGGTGATGAGTGAAGGTAGTTGTGAATAGTGGTGATGGTAGTGGTGAGTGATGGTGGTGGTGGTTATGGGATGCAGGGTCAACAAGACCTTATTTTGTTAATAAATGTAAATGAAAACAAAAACTATCGCAAAAAAGTATAAATCTGAACAAAAACACAAAATAAGTCCGAAGTAAACATTCAGAAACACTATTAACACACAAACCAAATATTATGACTCAGATCCTAAGACTTAAATCCCATGTTTATACAGATCATGATCCTTTATCCAGAAAACAAAACAATAATGAATTCAAGTACAGTAATCTATAGCTTATCTATAACACAAATATGATGTCTTATCCTTCTTAACCTTAAAATACAGAAATTGTTGAATAAAACCAATAACTTTTTATCTTAATTCTCTTCATACCAGGACATTATTCAAAATTATTTCTTATCTTTTCGTTGCATGTTATTGGATTTCGTTCTATATATTCATACGCATATTACCAATTTCAACGGGATTATAATTTATTTAGACGACCTGGAGATTAGCCCATAGTTGATTTTAAAATAAGATTACCCACCCAAATGCTAGCCTAACGTAATCTAACCTAACCTAACGAAAGCTAACTTATAGTAACTCAGCCAAAGCTTACTTAACCAAAGCTGACCTAACCTAACCAAAGCTAACTTAACCTAACTTAACCAAGGCTATCATAACCTAACTTAACCTAATCAAACCTAACCCACTCTCATCGATCCTAACCCAAACCTTACCTAACTTAATCCAACCCCTCTTCCGTGACGTCAAGGTGGCCAATCTTCAACCATTTGTTTACACCTGAGGCCCGCAGTGTCGTCCGCAGCGCCTTCAGTATTATAACATATAGAAATTTAAAGCACCGACATCAAGAGGCAAACGCAATATATCTACACTCATCAGCGTCACAAACTGGAGGTTATGAGCTAGAAACCCAGTGTTTTATGCATTGTGTAATATGGTAAAAAAATCCAAAACTCATTAATTAAATAGACGCACAAAGTTCTTTTTTTACTCGCTCCCATATATTGTTGTCAAATTAAAAAGAAAGGGGGGGGGGGGTGAACTTTGACCCTTGTAAAATAACCCAGAAGTACACAGTTTTCACTTTTATTATTATTAGTATTAGTATTACTATTAAAAATCATTATGTAAGGTCAATAACAAGATGTGTTTGTGCTAACTTTCATATCAATTGGTCAAACTTGGAATGACCATCACCTCGATAGATTTTTAACTGTTGACCCCATACATAGAATCCTTAAAGAACCCTCCCTAAAAAAAAACATAAAAACAAACACTTGACCAGCTACAAACACACCAAATTTTCTATCAGCTGGCCCAGTAATTAAGGAGAAAGGATATATTTGTGTGTCATCTGAAGATTAACTCCTAGCTTATTTCGCCTTATGATTAACCTAACCAAAATCTAATGCAAGCTTTCCTAACCTAACCTAACTTAACCTAACCTCACCTAACCTAAACAAACCCACTCTAATCCAACCCAAACGAATCTAAACTGAACCAACATTCTTAACTTAACTCAACATAATCTTCACATGACAATATCAGTCATGTGTGTGTGTGTAAAAATAAAGAAAATAATAATAATAATTAACGGATTATTAAGATAACATGGCAGCCCGAAAGCTGAAAATATACAATGAACAGAGCTGATAAGTTACATATGGTGAAATCGGGGAGTTGGTCACTTGATTGACAAAAGCTTTCAATACAGAAATATAAGAAACAGAGAGTCAACATATAGATTAACTGTAGATCTGGTAATGGGAACAAGCCCATTATCTGCCTCAGTGCAGGAGGCAATGATATTGGCCGGTGCAGGAGCGAGGAGCTTCTTGATAAGTTCAAGGCAGCTATAGATCGTATTAGGTCTAAGGGAGGGATCCCTATCAAATGCGGTGTCCTGCCTAGAAGGAGAGTTGGCAGTGAATGGTTGTCAAGGGCGGTTGATGTCAAAGACCGTCTTGACAGATATTGCAAGTCAATATCGGTCCCATTCATTGACAACTGGGACAACTTCTACGGCAGAAGGGACCTTTATGCTAGGGATGGGGTCACCTGTCTCGGGAGGGGGTGGCAACCCTGGCTGGGTCTCTAGAGGGGGCAGTTCAAAGGATATCGAAGTCTTTAAACTGCTAGGGGAACATATGGTCACGGGGGTGGGGGAAACTGCAGTGGGAGCGGATAAACAAAGTAATAGATTACAGGGAAATAGTGTTAGGAATGATGACAAAACTAAATTTAACAGGGAGTTTAAAACTAAACGCGGTAAAGGGAGGACTCAGAACACGACTAACTTAAATGTCTACTACGTGAACAGTAGAAGTATGAGAAACAAAATGGATGATATTAGGGCCTTGGTATGCACCGAAAAAATCGATATAATAGCATTCACTGAAACATGGATCAACCTGGACTCACGTGAGTTGCCGGTCGAATACCAAATTGCTGGTTACAAATTGTTCCACATCGATAGGCAAACCAAGAAAGGAGGCAGAGTAGCAATCTATATTAGGGATAATCTGAAGTGTGAAATAAATAAGGAATTAAAAACTGAGCGGAATACAGAAACAATTTGGATAGAATTAAGCGATGGTAGGGAAAAATTAATCACAAGAGTAATATATAGACCTCCCAATCTTGATAGAGTCAATGAGCGACTTATCTGGGATGAATTGCTCAGGGCTTCCATACACAACAAAGTCTGTATAGTAGGCGACTTTAACCTTGGCCAAATAGATTGGACTGACCTTACGGGTAACTCAGAATCAGAGGATTTTCTCGAGATGATCCAGGACTGTTTCCTAAGTCAACATATAACCGAACCCACACGGGGTAATAATATACTCGATTTAGTTCTATCGAACAGAGAAAACCTCATTAGCAATGTCGAGGTAGGGAACGAACTTGCAAACAGGGATCACAAATCAAGTCGATTCCAGTTTGATTTTCAGGGCAGATGTAAGGAAAATTCCACTAAAGTACCAGATTTCAGAAGGCCAAACTTTGACAGTTTAAAGAGGCAGCTGAGAGAGAGGGTGTCGCGCTTGGCCGTGAACCTGACAGATGACTCGGACCTGGTAACGACATCTGAGACTGCCGAGTTCCACGACAATTTAAATAATGAGTTACTTAATGCACAGAGGCAGAACATACCATACAAAAAACTCAGATCAGACAACAATGACCCTAAATGGATAAATAATTATTTAAAGAACATCATTGGCCAAAGGAAAGCTATAGGTAGAAGGATAAATCGTGGCGAAATTTACCTCCAGGATTATTATAAGATATTGGCGAGTAGGGTTAAAACCGAGATAAGGAAAGCCAAGAGGAATAATGAGGTAAAGATTGCAAGGGAGGCAAAGACAAACCCCAAAGGATTCTACCAAATGTATCAAACTAAAACACGAGAAAAGATTGGACCAATACGGTCAGATACCTGCGAGCTCACTGAATACGACGGAGAAATGAGCAATAATTTTAATAAATATTTTTCAACAGTTTTCACCACCGAAAATTTAAACATGATACCCGAGGCACCGACTCTATTCAGAGATAGTGAAGAAAACAAATTAAGCGAGATAGTAGTGACTAGTAACGATGTTAGTAAGCAAATAGACAAACTAAAGCCTAATAAGTCACCTGGTCCCGATGAGATATTTGCCAGAGTATTAAAGGAATGTAAGGAAGAGCTTAGTATGCCCTTAACATAGTTGTTTAACATGTCCTTAAAAACAGGTGTAGTACCAGAATCCTGGAGGATAGTGAATGTAATACCGATTTTCAAGAAGGGGGATAGATCACTATCCTCTAACTACCGCCCAATCAGTCTAACATCAATAGTAGACAAATTACTGGAAGTAATCATTTCAAACTATATTTGAAATCACCTGGAGAAGCACTGATTGATCAATGATTCCCAGCATGGCTTCACAAGCTGACGTTCATGTCTAACTAATCTATTAACATTCTTTTCATCAGTTTTCGAATCGGTGGACGAGGGGCACAATTATGATGTGGTATATCTCGACTTTAGCAAAGCCTTCGACAGAGTCCCCCACGAAAGACTAATTAGAAAGGTAGAAGCTCATGGCATCAAAGGTAACATCCTTAAATGGATTAGGGCGTGGTTACAGGACTGGAAACAACGAGTAAGCATTAACGGCACTAAGTCCCATTGGAGCAACGTCACAAGTGGAGTTCCCCATGGCTCAGTACTTGGACTATTATTATTTACTAGCCGAATTACCCGCGCCTTGCACAGAACATTTTCTGTCGACCATACATGGGGATCCTTCATTTAGGGGACCACATGGGCCATCGATCATGTGTTTCATGACCAGATCATGGAGTTCTTTATCTTGCTCTTTTTTAGGGATTTCTGCAGAAATTGCCAAATCATATTCTTCGGCTTTGATTTTGTGCTCTGGAGCTATCCAGAAAAGAAAGTGTGCATGGGGTAAACCTCTCTTCTGGTACTCAATGGTGTACAGCCATGCTTGCAAAGTACCAAATATTCCCTTCTTCATATGTTCCATAAACTTTTTCACTTTTAATATGAAGACTCTCGCAACAATATCTGGTCGATCATGACTCTCTTGTCCGGGAGCCAAATTGTCAACAATTTCGGGCCAACGTGGATTACATGTCATAGTGAAAAAGTAATCTGCTCTTCCGTAATGTCTCACAAAGGCCATCGCATCTGACCTTTTTTCATGAAGGTATCGAGGACCACCAGTAGAGGTCGCTGGAA